ATACATTGCCAATCGAACACCATCATATATAACACATGCAACAAGCACTACAATAACCAAACTGTCAAACTATGAATCCAAATAGTTCTCGGATCTCAAGACTAACCTTTCCAATCAGAACTGATTTTGCCTTCTTGAAACTTTCACCAAGCTTCTCATACTCTGGAGCAAGCTTTTTACAGTGCCCACACCTGCCACGGGACACAAAACACAAAATTATTTGTGCAAGCATCAAACAGCCCAACCAGCAGTCATGGCATCATGAAGGGCAGCGTGGAAGTTAAATTGGTGAAATGGCAATAGAAAAGTCAATTTGAAACCACTTGGTAAAGGGACTCATTTTAGTGTCAACAATATATATGGGAATACTTCGTCAACTTGTCCAATAAAAAAGAGGAATCTTCTGAAAACAGGAGCTTCAGCATCTTTGAATAATAAAAGTATAGTACAAGGACGGAACCAAAAAGAAAGATCAATAAATCACATGATTTACTAGCAGCCCCATGGCTACCAATATGAAGTCCCCAAAAACATACTTACTGATGTTTTCCAAAGTAACAGGGGATCAAGTTTGCGATGAGGGACACTTACTAAAGATAGACGATTCAGCCCAATGCATTGCTGAGGAGTCGGAACTGAAAAAAAATGCTAGAACCATGTTGTCTTTGATCTACCAAGTTTTGAAGCAACATTGTGGTTAGCCCTATCTAGAGACGGCTCCATGGAGGGTTCAGGATGCATAACACCTTGAATGCTTCTCAAGAAACATTGCACATGCAAGTTATCTTTCTTAATACCTTTTAGGCTTTTATCAAAAATGGTTTAACACTCTCATCTAGCTCTTTCTGTTGAGACTTTAATCCCCCATTTCATGTTCATCCCACTCAACTCTCTCAAAGTTTTATCACTTCACTAAATGATATGTCATTTGTTTCCTCTCACTTGTTTTACCGAAAACTCACAAGTTCTTTAAAGCACAAACAGTGACCATATCACTTATATGAACTTGGGCTACAAATAGGTTTGTGCAATCAACACTAAGTTGAACAATCTGAATTAGGTCATCCGAGATTGCACTCATCATAGGATTAGGCAGTTAGGACACTAAAAAGTAGGTAGGATTCTTTACTTGGCGTGTCTATTTTAGGCTCATGGATCCTCAAGTTGGATTTGCTATTTAACATATTTGTCACTAGGATTTATCCACACTGAGGTTACAAACATCTCCATTAATGAGATTTTGGGAGGGATAGATTGGATACAAAGTTACAAACCCAACTTTTTGGCATTTATTTCCCAAACTGAATATCCTTCTCTTTGCCTCTCCTTCACAAGTCTGACCTAGTCGACCCAACATCAGGTTGCCAGCCATTTGGAATTTTGGGACATTACACAGCAAAAACGCCCACTGAGAGGGGAGAATGGGTTGCCCTTTGTTTAAACGAACACTACCTCAAGTTTAGTAAACTGAGCATATTAACAACACAATAGGGTTAAGTGCACTGATTCTTAACATTAAAAAAATTTGAGCAATTCTAAAAATATGCTTAACTTACACATTTAAAAAGCTTTCACAAAGTTTAAACATTTGAATGATTATTCAAACAAATATCAGTGGAGCCACCACTTGCAATATCGACAGCATTCTGCCACTTCTATTAATGTAAATCAAGGTTGATTGGCGGGGGCAGCTGCACCAAGTGGTTAAGGGTTCAAGCGAACCCCCTGGGTCCAAAAAGATGCACTAAAAATTTTGTACTTTTTCTATGAAATTTGATTGCTTTTTAATATTGTCAGCACTGAATTATTCATAAGAAACTAAAGTAAATGAAAACTTACCTAAATGTGAGTAGATAATAATATAGCTCAACAAGACAAAGTAAACTAGGCCTAATAAATTTTCAACCGAAATAAATATGTTCATTGTATATAGATTTCTTTACGTTTTTTACACCGCTGAACTATAATCCTTGAGTCGTTCCTGTTGATTGGACTTCCTAGACACGCGAATTGTCTGATCTAACAATACACTGTCCCTGACCATGATCAACTTGTGACAAAAAAAACAACAACATTATTTCGCATGAAAAAAAAAAGCAAGGCTGTCTAACCACGCATATCCCATCGCTCAGATCTAATTTAGCCGAATCTTGCGATTAAAAACACAATTAACAGCCCTTAAGCGACACTGATCTACTCATCAAACACAGAACACATCGCTCCAAATTCCAATAAATCAGCCTATCAGGCAAATTAACATCTAGCTACCACTAAATTCTTAAGCACAGTATAAGCGTATACAGCAATAGATACGTCTAATTCTGAAAACGGTGCCGTGGAATATATAATGCGTACCAAGGAGCGTAGAACTCGACGAGGGCGCCTCGATCTTGGCCGACCTCCTTGTCGAAATTGTCCTCCGTCAGAACGACCACGTCGGCCGAGGCAGCCGCCGCCGACGAGAGCAAGAGCAAGGCTAGGGTTGCGCAGAGGACTCGTGACCCTCTCGTCATTTCTGGATCGGAAAAATTATTCTTCTTGTCGTTGCCCCCACCGTGATTGATTATTAATCTGAAGTGGAGAGCTCGAATATGAGACGCTGTTCTTGCACTCATACTAGTAGTTCTGTCGCCGGAGGTTTGCAATTGCAATTATTACGAAAAAATATGGACTTAGACGTCCCTTGAGGTTTTGTCAAAGGGCGGCGCTATTTGTAACCATTTATTTTCTTTCGTAATCCGTTAAAAATTTTCAATTATATTCGACAGTTAGTTACCGAAATTAAGATACATTTTTAGTAACCAGTTATAAATATGATATTTTTTTCAACAACTATTAACCGAAAATGCATGTTTGGCAGTTGTTTACCGAAAGTTGAGCATATTTTCGACATGTAGTTACCGAAATATAATCTTATTTTCAACAGCTATTTATCGAAATGTTATTTATGATTTTCAACAACCACTTACCGAAATATGATGGACTATGGGAGAAAATAAAGGGTTGCAAATAGCCCCGCCCTTGTTAAATTGGGATTGTTTACACCGACCAATAAATTGTGGACTTAGACATTCCTTGAGGTTTTGCTAAATTGGGATTGTTTCCACCGATCCATAAATTATGGACTTTTGAGAGATTAAGATTTGTTTCCATTAACCAACAAGTTGTCGGCTACAACATTTTAAATTTTTTTTATTCAAATTTTTTTTTTTTGTGTTTGTTAATTTTGTTTCAAATTTTTATGTAATATTGGTCGAAACGAATCAAAAAAGTAAAAAATTATGACTTTCTACACAAATATTTTGAAAAAATATCGGAGGAAAAAAAATTTTGAGCTTTTCCTTGGATATTTCCTGAAATGCTTGTATAAAATTCATAAATTTTTACTTTTCTAATTTATCTCGTCGAGATGAACCAAGATTACATAAAAATTTGGCGCAAATTTAACAAACTCGAAAAAAACTTGAATAAAAACAACATTAAAAAGTTGTGATCCGCAACTTATTGATTAGTCGAAACATCAAAGGATTAGTGCCACGGTAGTGAATCTGGTTTAGTCTCTATTATTGGAGTCAGACTTTCTAAAATATCGGTGGATCATCTTGATAACTAATACTAGTTTAGAGTTGATAATTTTTGTTAAAATATCCAATTCAAAATTAATTGACAAAAGGAGGATTATTGAACTTTTTTCTCCCCTTAATTTGTTTCTAGTCTTGATTAAAAATAAAAGTATCGGTCAGATTCTAGTTGTTTGCTTTTTTTTCCTCATCTGTATTCTCATCTCCACCTCCTCCACCACCACCACCACCTCCTAATCAGTTTGCCAGAGGCGCTAGTGCAATAAGTTCAGAAGTCATCCGTACAACACCCTCAAAACACCATTTGGACGCATACTTAAAAACCTTGGCTTATACACACATTTCGGATCAACCACCAGTAACCAATTAGTGGTGCTTACATGGCGGATTTCATATTGAAACTCGAAATTTTTAAGAGTAAATTACACTAAGCCCCCCTCAATTAATTCATATTTTCACTTAAGCCCCTCAGACTACAAAATTTGACATTGTGCACCCTCTAAATATTCAGAGTTGACACTTAACACCCTTTTGTTAGGTTTCCGTAGGAAAAATGCACCGACGGCCGTCTCCGGCCACCGGACTGCCAATCCAAGCCGTCCAAAAATTTTTAAAAAAAACCGAGTGGGCTTACGCGGGAATCAACGGCATGCGACATGCGTAGTTGCTCGATCCAAACACCCCATTTAAATTCTTGGAGTGTTTGGATCGAGCACCTACGTACGTCGGATGCCGTTGATTCTAGTGTTTGCCCACTTGGTTTTTTTGAAAAATAATTTTGGACGGCTCGGATCGGCCGTCCGATGGCCGGAGACCGCCGTCGGTGCATTTTTCCTACGGAGACCTAACAAAAGGGTGTTAAGTGTCAACTCTGGATAGTTAGAGGGTGCACAATGTCGAATTTTGTAGTCTGAGGGGGTTAAGTGAAAATACGAATTAGTTGAGGCGGGCTTAGTGTTATTTACTCAAATTTTAAAGCAGAAACTTTAACACGAGAATTCGATTTATTAATTTATTCAGCAAAAAGAGGAAGAATGAAAATTCAGTTGAGGCGAAAATATACTACTTTGAAGAGCGAAAGAAGAGAAAGAAAGCAAGCTTGCGATGCAATGTCAGAAAAAAATACTGTACTTAACTTGAAGGTACAAATGACATAATAAAAAAAAAGTCAACTATAATTTTAAAAAGTTTTAAGCAACACGAACTGAAAAGAAATGCAATGGTTATTTATAACGCCTCTCTCGCATGGATTGGGACCCACATCATGTAAGATGACGTCACAAATAACCGTTAGATTGGAAATTTTTTTGAAAAGCAGGTCTCAAATTGCCCGTTTATGATAAAAAAAACAAATTTGGCCTTTCTAAAAGGTAGTTGAAAACATAACTTATATTGTAAAACAAATATCCTAGCAGCACGGGGGATGTAGCTCAGATGGTAGAGCGCTCGCTTATCATGCGAGAGGTACGAGATCGATACCCCGCATCTCCATTTACTTTGCCTTTTTCCGTTATCAAAAGTGAAATGAATAAACCTCACGGTGCACACATATAGGTGTACTGGTACAGATACAAACTCCTTTTGTCCCGTTTGAGTTTCAAAAAATGATCGGAACTGCTTATTTTGTTTAAAATGTGAGTACTTTATTTGTGGCTCATGCGAAAAATAAGCTCAATCCGGTATCAGTTAGGAAGTCTACAAAACGTCTAACTTTGTCCCAGAATTCAAGCCTAAATTCTAAAGCAAAATTGGATATTTCGTAAAATACTCTTGCCGATACCGGATTGAACTTGTTTTTTGCAAGGACCATAAGCAAAGTATTTTAAACAAAATGAGTAGATCTAATCATTTTTTTGAGATTCAAAATGGGCCTAAAAAAGAATTTGTACACATTGGTATAGATATAAAATCTGTACCATTAGACTTTTTGCTTAATATGTATGGGAAGGTTTTAGAGGCTTTTCCTTCCAATATATATATTTTTTTTTGTTTCAACAGAGCTTTTCCTTCCATTCAAGAACAAAGTTGTTTGTTCGTTGTAATAATGTTAATGTTCTGTGAGTAATAATATAATGGTCTGTGAGGAACTTTTCAAGAGGTAGTGTTTGCATTTGTATTTGTCCGTTTGCTTGTAACTTTCCAGGGTATAATAATGTGTCATAATATCCATATGTGTAATAGTGACTTTCTAGGTACTTTCCCATATTCTAAGCAATACGTCTTCTTCCTCTGTAAAAAGAGGAGGCTACCAGTTATGTACTCAGTCTCCAATGTGTTTCTTTAGATCCTCTCCCTACCAAGAATAAAGGATTCAGTCATGTCATCATTCTATATTCAAAGCTTTTGGGTCGTGTGGCGATATCAATAAACCCTCTAAACTTGAAAATTGGAAATCGCTCTGCTTTCACCAGAATTACAACTTCTGGCAACTAGAAAACGATTAAGTGTTGCAAAACAGTACATTTGAATCAAAGTGACCTAGTAAAAACATCTTCGGGGTCTGTTCTTCAGGGAAGGTTTTTAGAGGCTTTTCCTTCCCTTAAAGCACCTGGGAATAAGGATAATATCATTCGAATTATCTTGGAAGCTACAGGAATGGTTTGGAATGTCTGCTTGATTCATCTCTCTTGCATATCCTTCAACTCCTTACAGAAAAGGAATTTCACCGGAAGAACTTCGAGCAACAAGAAAATCGGAAAATGTATACGCTTTTCTATTCCGGTTACATTCCCAGTTTTGGCAAAAATTGGTGGTGTTCGGGTTCACCATAAATGGGCATGATTTAAAACGAACTACTCGCGAAGTTCAAGCGTTTAGACTTTAGTTGATTAGACCAAACACTGCCAGAATTATCCAACCATGCTCTGTCCTGGTGCTTTGTTAATGCAATTTCCCCTCATCAACACTCTCACTTTCTCGACTTCGTCCCATTCGCCTCTTTCCGCATAAATATTTGACAGCAACACGTAGTTACCAGAATTCCACGGTTCAAGATTAATAAGCTCATTCACAGCACACTCTGCGAGCTCCGTGTCTCCGTAAGTACGACAAGCACTAAGCAATGCACCCCATATAGCAGCATTTGGCTTCATAGGCATACAACGAATTAAATCACGAGCTTCACTCAAACCTCCAATACGCCCGAGGATATCGACCATGGATCCATAATGTTCAAGTTTTGGTTCAATGTGATGCTTTAAACTCATCGAACGAAACAAATCCCAGCCTCTTTCCAACAACCCTGCATGCGCACAACATGCTAAAACTCCCACAAAAGTGGCACCATCCGGTTTCACACCTTCAGATATCATCTCCTCAAATAAATCAACCCCAAGCTCACCATTTCCATTGAAAGCCATACCGGAGATCATCACATTCCATGAAACGACATTTTTTCGGGGCATGTTTCTGAAAACAGTGGAAGCTTTTTCCAACATCCCACATTTGCAATAGAAGTCAACTAGTGAATTTCCAACAGAGATGAAATTTTTAAACAATCCACTTGACCCTGCATAAGAGTGGATCCACTGCCCAAGATCAACTTCCCCCAACCGAGCACAAATTGGAAGCATGGAGACTACAGTCGCTTCATCCGGTTTAAAACCATTATCTTGCATATCGCGGAAAACCTCCAAAGCCTCACTATCTCTATCACTTCGTGCTAAACTAGAGATCATTAAATTCCAAGATACAACACTCCGCTCGCTCATTTGCTTAAACAAACACAACCCCATTTCAACATTACCCATTTTGCAAAACCCGCTAATCATCAAATTCCAAACAATCACATCCCTTTGAGGCATTTCATCGAACACCTTCTGGGCCTCCACCATCTTCCCACAAGATGCATACAACTCAACGATCCCAATCCTGATCGATCTAAACCTCTCAAACCCAAGACGTACAACCCCGGAATGAACTCCCCGACCCATTCTCAAATCAACAAGATTAGCACAAGATTTAAGCAGAGGCGCGAAAGTGAACTCGTCGGGCCAAATCCCGCGCCGTTTCATGGCTGTAAAGAAATGGAGGGAGTACTCGAAGGGTTTGGAGAGGGAAGAGGCTTTGATGACGGAGTTGAAGAGGACGATGTTGGGGTTGTGGGTTTGGTCGAAGATGAGGCGAGCGTAAGGGGCTTGGTTGAGCGAGGCGCAGACGGAGACGAAGTGGGCGAGGATTTGGTTGGATTGGTGGAGGTGGTGGCGGAGGAAGTGGGCATGGATTTGGGTGAGTTGGGTTCGGGTTTTGCGGCCGTGGAGGAGGCGGAGGATCCTTCGCTCCACCTCCCTGCCACTTCCGCCACTCATCTAATTCTCGGAGCTGGCTAAGCTAAAGCCGAAGATGGAGCCGCTTTAGGGCTTAAAAAAATTTCAAATTTGAAGGATCCTTTTATTTTGATCTCACTTGGAGCATCTCCAACCCATACTCCATTTCTTCATTTTGGAGGAAAAATATTCTCCAACCCATTCTCTAAAACTCTTCTCCATTTGAGAGGATGAACTTTGATCCTCTAAATATAGAGGATGAATGAAAAAATAGAGGATCTCCTCCAAATATGTGTTGGAGTTGAGAAATAGAGTGTTGGGTTGGAGATGAGATAAATAGTACAATCCTCTAAATCTACTTTCCAAATAAAATAGATTAATTTGATCCTCTCAAATAGAGATTTGGAGGGTGTTGGATTGGAGATGCTCTTATAACGTTACAAATTTACAAGGGGTTTTAGAGGCCGGTCTTTTTTTTAAGCTTTGGTTTTATTCTAATCCTAAATGTAATATTTTTATCCAAATTTTTTAAAATAGTCCTGGCTAAGGATCATCATCGGGCCGGGCCGGGCCAGCCCAGCCCAGCCCGCCAAGTCGCTGTCCAAGCCCGCCCACGGGCTGGGCCGACCGGGCTTTTCCTTTTTTGCGGGCCGGGCTGCCTACCATAAATTGAAGCCCAAGCCCAGCCCACGGGCTATCCCAATTGGCTAGCCGGCGGGCCAAAAGCCGGGCAAGCTTAAATTTCCTTGGGCAAAACTAAATCAAGGGAAAAAAGAAAGGGTTTTGTGGGATTTTGAGCTAATAGGCGGGCCCGTTGGCGGGCTTTTGGACGGGTACCACGGGCGGGCTCACGGGCCGGGCCTACGGCGCGGGCCGAGTAAAAATTTATAGGCTCGAGCCCGCCCATTACAAACTACTGGCCGGGCTGCCCCGCCCGTTTTACGGGCTCGGGCCGGGTAAAAGCCCGGCGGGCCGGGCAGGCTTTGGGCGGGTCACGGGCCTTCGAGCTAAATGATGACCCTTAGTCCTGACTCATATTGATTAGGACAAAAATATCCTTATGAGAACTGTATTGGCTATGAAAACTGTGAGTATGATAACTGTATCTATGAAAATTGTGTCTATGAGAATTGGCTATGAAAATTGTGTCTATGTGAACTGGGTTATGTGAACTGAAAAATACACAGTTCACAGTCTCACCACACACTAAAATACACAGTTCTTATAAACAGTTCTCAGGACAATACACAGTTCTCATAGAAAATACACAATTCTCATAGAGAGTTCTTATAAACGATACACAGTTTTTATAGAAAATACACAGTTCTCATGAATAATAGACAGTTCTCATAGAAAATACACATTTCTCATAATTCCAATACACACAAAATTACAGAGCTGCATTTTTTACTAGTAGCTTCTTGTTACCCTGCCCAAAGTTTGCATTTGTAATTAGTAGCTTGTTGGATTTTTCAAAAAAAAAAATATATAGAAATCAATTGTGAACTGTGTATTGTACTTCAATTGAGGTAATAATGCTGTGCAACAACCAAAATCAAACTCACAAGCTGTAAAACATAAAATTGGCTTACAACTTCAAAGCACAAAATGCTTGAACCTACCAGAAAAGTGATTCGTGTCCTCCCAACACTAGAGCCAGAGAGAAATTAGGATTGAAATGTGATACAGCAAAAGCCAGAGTTTGGAATTTCACTGAGGATCTCTGTAGTCGATCGCTGCGGCGGCGGCGGAGGATGGCGGCGACGTCATGTTCTCCGCGTGTTCGCGAATTTTCTTGCGAGTTCGGTTTGAGTTCGGCCTCGGATATGGAGAAGCGGGATGACTGTACAGAGGCCGGAGAAGCGCCGGAACAACGAAGGTGATCACCGGCAAGAATGATTCCATCGAGCCATGCAACAACAACTAACCTCCTTCTTCGTCATCCTCGTCCAACTCCTCGTCGTCGTCCTCGCCATTGGAGGCTTCGTCGCCGAGAACTTGTGGTTGATTGTTTTCATGTTCTTTAATTGAGTTCGCCATGAGAGAGAGAGAGAGAGAGAGAGTGAGAGAGAGAGCAGATCTGGAGGAGCATAGCGCTGTTGTTGATGTCGACTCCGGCGGAATAGTCTAGGTACGGTTCGGAATAAAAATGACAAAAAAGTCATGATATAACATATCCAAGCCTACGCAGATTTGATAAAAAATATTAGGGTTGGAATGAAATCG